AACGCTGCCAGGAAGTCCACAGATACTGAGGCCATGAGAGGGACACTGCAGTGCCTCTTGAGTGGGAGAGATTCAAATGTTCAAAGGCGAGGCTGGCCAAGGTCAAGGTGAAGAGGAGACATTGAGAGGTGAAGCCAGGAATCCCTGCTCCAGGGGGGAGTCATGTCATAGAATTCTACAGCTGTCAGGTCTGCAAATGACAAGGCTTGCCAGCTGGTGGCTTCCCAGCTACAGGTTTCCTACCAGCAACCCCATGATAAACAAGCCAGGCTTTATAACAGGTTCTGCCTGAGCTTTTGGGGTCTTTCAACGAATATACTGTGCTCAAATCATCTGTGGCCAATTTCTCACTAGACTCCCAGGACTCCTTAGCAGTGACTAACACGTACGTGGCTGCTACCTGAAAAGTTGGAGGTGCCTCAGAGGTAAAGTCTGGCAATCTGCTTCAGAAAAATCAATTCCTAAAAATTCTGTCGAGCGCAGTTCTACTCTGACATACATAGGATGTCCATGAGGTGGAATTTGTTTGATGACAACCGGTGTTTTGTTTTGTTTTCAAAGTATTTACCAAGCATTCATCCATGCTGGGCTCTTTACCTGGAACCATTTCCATTGTTCCTCGTGACACCACCAAATCTGACGACTGGCAGAGAGGCATTAAGGGATGTTAGCTTCTACTGGCAGAACTGGGTCTCTAGCCCAGGTCTGTCAGATCCTACTCACGATGCCTTCTTTCAAAAACACAATTCTAGTGATATAATACTAGCCAACACAGCAAGTAGCTACTATTCCAAGTATAACACAGTGAGTAGCTACTATTCCAAGCATTTTGTGGATTTCAACTAATGTCATCTTCCCATTAAACTCCTTTTACAGCCTCGGTAATGAGTGGTGAAATACTCTGCCCTAGATCACACCGCTAGCACGTGCTCAAGTGTGGGGTTTGAACCCAGGGCATCTGGGGCCTGAGACCAGACTCCCAACAACAGACAGCTCACTGTCACTGAGTCTATGGAGACTCATGGAGACCCTATAGGACAGGGCAGAACTGCCCCTGTGGTTTCTTGGGACTGTGATACTGTATGGCAATAGAAAGCTTCATCTTTCTCCCCAGGTTCCTCCAAACGACCTTCCAGGCAGCAGTACTGCTCTACAGAGAATAAAATCCCTATGATTAAGATTTCCTAAGAGGAGTCCATGTGGCCTAGCAGGTTATGTGTTGGGCTGCTAACCGCAAGGCCAACAGTTTGCAACCACCAACTGCTTGTCAGAGAAAGATAGACATTGTGCTTCCCTAAAGATGTACAGTTTTGGAACCCCATCGGGGGCAGTTCTACTCAGTCCTGTAGGGACTCTATGAGTCAGAATCAATTTGCGGCCAATGAGGTTTTTGGTTTGAGTGAGGCATTGGCCCTACTCACCCAGGTTAACTTTAGCTTGTTATAGGACTGGTAGGTTTTGTGAAGGTCATAGTGGGAGCATCTTTTTTGAAAAAACGAGGGGTTAACTAACTGATGGGCAGGGAGGTCCAGTTACCTTACCAGGCTCCCCTTCACAAGCTATCATAATAGAACCCGATCTTGTGATCTTGCCTTCGAAGGGTGGGAACTTGTCCCTGTGGAATGGCGTGAGCCCTGGAGAAGCTACCGGCAGTCTGGGGAGCACCCCCTGCCCTGTGCAAGGGCTGGAGGTCTTGGAGAGCACAGGGTATTCATTCCAACAGAGGGGCTTCACACCCACCTCGTCCACAGCCATCTCTTCTGTGGGGCAGCGCAAGCTCCTAACTGGCTGCCTAGACTTTGTTGGGGAGATCACACTGGCGGTGGTGAAGAATGTTTCTTTGCAAGGCTGGAGAAGATACATGGAGCCCAGTCTGCCCCGGAGACAGGACAATTGAACTCAGCAAGGGCTCCCTGCCAGGTCTGATCACAACAAAGGACAACTGGCTAGCTCCCCTGAAGCTGTGGGGCATGGCCCTGGGGGGCCTGCTGTGGGAGCAGAGCCCTGAAAGGGAGGGGCTAGCAATCCCAGGAAGCGCGTGGGAGGGAGGCTGGGCTGCAGCTTGGAGTTGCCTGCCATTCTCCAGGCTCTGACGGTTCAGAAGAATAGATCTCCAGGCCTGTCTTCTGAGGCACTTCTGGCTGTGTTCCACTTGGAAGCCTGTTGGCTAGTAGTTGATTAGCTACCTGCGCCAGAGGCTTACAACTCCAAACTCATTGCTATCCAGTTGATTCCGACTCAGAACAACTTCACAGGACAAAGTAGAAGTGCCAGACTCCATGGCAGGGAGCTTGGTTTGGGTTTGAGAACCACCCTTGTAAATATTTGAGGGAACCTCAGAAGCCCTCAGCTTTCTCCTGAGGAGCGGCTGGTGGCTTAGAACTGCTAACCTTGCGGTGAGCAGCCTGATTTGTAACCCATTATAAGCCGAGACAAATTTGCCTAATTTGTTTAATTGAGCAAATTTAACCCTGCTCTGACCTCCTGCTTGGTTTCTTTCGGGGCTGTTAACCCTGTTATTAATGACTTAGAATCAATAACTATAACAGCACTATTGTGGCTCTTAACACTTGCACCCATGCAAAATCTTTGCTCGTCTGTCCCCAGACTACCTCCAAGCATTCCCAAGAGAATTCTTTCAGGAAGAGAAGGACCTAGTGCTTATCTGGCACATATTTGGCATCAGCCAGTCATGTTCAGCTTTCTATGTTACCTCCTTCACTCTTCTCTCGTCACTATCTCGTAGATAGTTTCTTATCTCTTGTTTTTCTCCTGAAGAAAATAAGGATCAGAGCCGTGACATCACCAGCCTGTGGATGTACATGGAAGTCACTGTACTTTTTGAATCAGGCTTTCATAACCACTCAGACCAAAGGATGAGATCACTCAACACAGGTGTCTTCTCTCCCCATTCGGCAGCTGTTGCTCTAACTCAGGTCAACCACAGACCCAACCGAATGAAACGCTGTCTAGCCCTGTGCCCTCCAAACGACGGATGGGTCGAGGATTAGACTACGATGACCGCAGGGCTTCCATGGACTGATTTTCAAAAGTAGTTCATCCGGCCTTTCTTCCCAGCCCATCTTAGCCTGAAAGCTCCGCTGAAGCCGGTTCCACATTCGAACAGCACACAAGATTCCACTGACACACAGGTGGTGGCTGTGCCTGAGGTGAGCTGACCACGGATGGAACCCAGGTCTCCCACGTGGAAGATGAGCATTCTAACTAACCCCCACGGCCCTCTGCTCAGACGGCACATGGGTGCGCGTGACCCAGCAGAACACCTGCATTCTGAGCGGCTCTGCCTCTGAATTCCAACCTCTTTCGTGGTCGTTTCTGGTGGCATGTTGTCGACAGCTTTGTTTCTCGGAAAGCCAAAAGCCAATGCATATCGTCAGCCATTACTTGTTCAATTAGAAATTAACTACCGTACAGCGAACTCACGAACCCGTGGTCAAAAAAAGCAGGAATGCGGTCTTCTTCGGGAGAAATTGAATCACTGGTTAAAGGTCAAGATGCGTTTTTTCCTAGGGAGATTTAGAAAGTGGGAGTGATTTTTTTTTCCCTTTCCTTTCTTGGTTTCATCTGCTGAGGAAATGCAGAATCAAGGGGGATGAAGCAGGAGCCATCCTCTCACTCTTCCAATGCGCAAGTTCAAGAGGGAAAAAAACAAAAGGCACAGAGGCCACCTGATAGGAGACTAATACAAGCCTCCAGGAGCAGGCGAGAAGCCGGCAGCAGAGCTGTGCTGGTTTTGAGTGCTGAGCCAGCCACTCTGAGCAAAACCTTCCTGAGCTTGCTTCCATGTCTACTTTTGGAAAGTTTTGAATTTCTGGGTGGATGAGTATGGGCATCTTTCCTAACATTATTTGCCCACAGAAGGCTCCGGAAAGAAAGAAAAGGGGGAAAAAGTTAAAACAAAACAGCTGATGAAGAAAGACAGACCCCAGCGCCTCACCCGTTTCTCTCCCCAAGATGCCCAGCTCATCTGGGAAGGGAGCTGGGCTTCTAGACACTTCCTTGGCTTCCTCTAACAGCAGCGGGGAGTGGGGCGTGTACTTCTGGAGCTGTCAGAACTGGCTGAACACAGGCGGCATGAACTCGACAAAGGAAACAAATATGGATTCTAGAGGCCAAATACAACAACAACAACAACAACAAGGCTCCTGGCAGAGCCATCACTTCAGGATATTTGCTATGAAAAGCAGAGCGAGAGAGAGTTTTCACCAGCAAAACAATCCGAAGTAATAACTCACTAACTCACTAGATCTGATGGTATGTTCTTGTGACCGGAGGAACTTCACTGGGGTTTAAGATAAACAGGCCGCCTGTCCACATGTGAATGCAGACCGTTCTAACCCAGCCGTCTGTCCGGGTGGTTACAAAGATTTTATTGAAGGAAGGGCACAGAAAGCGCCGCCGCCTAGGAGAGGGTACTAGACGGGGGACCTTCTCCGTGGGGTACTTAAAGTTTACCTGAGAAGCAGACTTTCAGGAAAAAGGAGAAGGAAAAGAAATACCGAGGGCCGCCTGCTGCCAGTTTGAGATCTGGCGAGATAGACACGGAGAATACGGAGTGGCTGGAACGAAGATGGCCTTCCCAACCCCCATCAAACGGGCTCGACAGGTCTGCAGCTCAGAGCTAAAGTTTCCCCCAACCTCTCACTCTCTGCCTCTCCAGCGTTTCAAAAACAGGATCAGTTTCACAGACAAGCCGAGGCTGGATGAGTGATCAGGAGAAAAGCAAAAAGGGTTGAAAACACCATGACCTGGGAGAACTTCCCCCAGACAACCAAAATGCCACAGACGTCTCTCTCTGCTGCCCTCTCGAGAGAGAGAGCTTCACCCTCCAGGAAGGGCAAAGACCCAGGAGGAAGCCAGCCAGCGCTCAAACCCACTGGCATTCAGTCACTTGTTTTTTCTCATTTAAATTCCTGTTCAGGTCCCTCAGGGGTTTGTGGTCTCAGTGCTGAGCGAAGATGTGGAGGGTGTCAACTCACCTCTTGGAGCCTCGGCTGGGGCACTCAGAGCAGCAGCCAAGCAGCTCTCATCCCTGGTGGATGAATGGAGTCGCTCCCAGGCTGGCCAAGGTGCAGTCGCTGCAGCCTTGGTGGAGAGGTGCCTGGAGGAAGGAGCAGGGTATTGGTTGGCCGGCAAGCAGGAAATGTGTGACACCACGGAAGCCTGGCCAGATAAAAAGCATTGCTGGGACCTTAGCGATTGAAACAGTCAGTAGGTCCCGCCCACCTGTCATTTACCTGAATACCTGGGAGCAGGTAGGTGGCGTCTCTGAGTGGACACATGAATCAGTTAGAGCAATTTGCTGGATGGAATTTACTTTCTTCTCCTGTGCCGGCACGTGTGTAGCCCTGTGGACAGGTCTGAATTTAGATGCCCGGTTGATTCACTGGCTCCCGCCCCCTCCCTCCACCCGCCCTGGTGGCCCAAAGCCCAAAGCTATTGCCACGGGCTGGTTCTGATTCAAGCGAGTATGACTGCCCCGCACACAGGGTTCCAAGGTGGTGTTTCTTCACAGAAGCAGGCTGCATGTGACATCTGTCTCCTGAACAGAGGCTGGTGGGTTCTAACCCGTGACCTTCAACAGCCAAGGAGAGAACAGCCCCTCTGAGGTTCTGAAGCTACAAATCTTACGGGAGCAGAAAGCCATTTCTCCCTCAGAGTGGCTGATGGGTTCAAACCTTGGGGTTAGCACCCCAACTTGTAACCCATGACACTACCAGGGCTTTTATCTTCCAACTAGTATTTCTCAACTAATGAATTAACCAAAACCCCGAACAAAACAACATCCACCAAAAAAAGACACTGCCGTGGAGTTGACTGACTCATGGCAATCCTACAGGAGAGGGCAGAACTGCCCTTGTGGGTTTCTGAGCTGTCATCCTTCTGGCAGTAGAAAGCCTCCTCTTTCTTCCGAGGAGCGGTTGGTGGTTTCGAACTACCGACCCTGATGTTATTAGGCCAACGCATAATCATAAAACATGGCTTTGGGCCAGTTCCTTTCAGTTTGATGTGTTGCAAATTTAAATTTCTACCCCAGATATAATGAATCCTAAACAGAATCAAAACAGAACAAACCTGCTTGGAGTCCTGATTTAAACAGCAACAATGAGATGAATGCTGAATGAGCGAATAGAGGAAGTTTCACACATTTTGAAGGCCATCTTTTCGATCCATGAGCACATTTCAAGTTCATTTTTAAGAATTCTAAATACCAACACTTTCCAAGTCAAGTTTCCAAACATTTTACACACATCATTTTCCCTTGAACCACATCCCCCCAACTCTAGCATTTTAATTCTATATTCAGGAGTCGGTAAAACCCCAGCTGGCCTGGCAGTTAGAGTCACAGGGTGGCCACAGTAGCTGGAGGCCCACAATTAGGAGCAATTTACATGATTCAGATTCGAGTGGTGGGGTAGTAATAAGGCACTGTGGTCCACTGGTGAGAGCCAGGGAGGAGGAGTCAGAGTTATTTCTGACCCACGCTTGGTGTCTGACCTTGGGCAAGTCCCTGCATTGCTTCAGCTTTTCCAGCAGGTAAGGAAGGACTCTACCACTCAGCCAGCACCAGAACGGGCCGCCACGGTGAGATGTGATGATGCTTAAACCTTTTGGCATGTCTCAGGACTGCAAGCCACTCCTGGCACTGCCTTTCAATCGTCCTATGCTTCTATGGCCTGGGTCCAGCATCCCTAGGCAATTTAGTTCACTCTCTGGAATGTGCTACCTGGGGAAATTGTTGAGTTCACCCTACCTGGAGGACGGCCTGCTTTTCCTGAGAGCCTATTTGGGAACGGGGTGGGGGTGGCTCGTGGCATTGCCCTTGTTGGGTTATTGTAAAGATTTACAGCCTCGGAAACCTCAGGAAGGGCTTGGGGAAAATCCGCTGCACAGGACGTCCTTGAAGAGTTGAAAAGCAAGATATTACTTTGAGGGCTAAGATGAGCCGGACTGAGCCATGGTGTGTGAATAGGGAAGACTGGCAAAGTACTGCCGCATTTGAATGATGGTGCTGGTGACGCCAATTGAAAGTACCGTGGATGGCCAGAAGAAGAAAGAAGACTGTCTTGGAAGAAGTACGGCCAGAATGTTCCTTAGAAACAAGTATGGTGGGACGCAGAATCGACTCATTGGCACTGAGTGAAAGACTTGCCTGCTGCTGGGCTGGACATTGAGCCGGGTCCTGAGTTCGGTTCCCACCTGAACAGGGATTCAGGACCCTAATCTTAGGTTGACTGAGAGTCTATAGCCGATGAGCCAATCTGGTCTCTTTTTTGAATCTGAATTTTATTCCACATTTTTTTCTCCCATTCTCACACCTTCTAACATGATCCCGTTCAGAGCAGTTAGGGGAGGAACGGGAGTAAATGCAAGCGCCAGTGAGAAGGGAAGGAAATGTTTTGATTCCGTTGTCTTGGCCTCAGCGATAATGGCTCTGGCCAACCAGTCACTGAATCCCTTGTAAAAACTGGGGTTGGGGAAAGAAGAGAAATTCTACTCAGGGCTCAGGGTGCAGGGCAGGCTCTGGATTATTTCACCAGCACGAACTGGCTCTTCTCCAGCCATGCCTGACTGGCCTAACCCACCTTCTCCCCGCTGGAAACTGGGTCGAAAAATCAAACACAAACAACTCTTCACTTCCTTTAACCCATGGAAGGACAAACAAGTAGACAGTGTGGTTCCCCTCTAATAGTTTAACAAAGATGAAGGCAGGTCTTTTACTAGTAGGTCATTAAGGGAAAAGGACCATCTCCACAGTGCGGCACGTTATATGAAAACATTGACCAAACAAAGGTTTCCCCTGGCCTCGGACAGAGTGGCCCCCGGGAGAGGGAGGAGGGGAGGCTGAGCGCACCTGCGCACCAGCCAGGTGATTCATCGGACCAGCCACGCCTCCCTCAGGCTGGGCTGCAGGCCCGCCCTCTCGCTGGGGAGTGGTGTCAATCAGGCCTCCCACCTTTCGGTCTGCAGCCGGACCACTTCCGCTTTTGAGGCATTTAGGGAACCTGGGACTTCAATTAGGAGCTTTGTTTCCTGAGCCCACCTTAATTACAGCACCTGTCGCTAGCCTCTCTTCCTCACAGAACCTTGAGTTCTCTTTCTCAGTATCCGTGGATCTCAAGACACCGTACCTGCTGCGGAGTGAGCTTATAATAACGATGTGATAAATCAGCAAATGATGAAGCTAGGCAAGCCCTCATTCTCTCAAGGAGCACACCAAGACTGCCTCTTATAGATCGGGGTTCTCAATTCTGGAACACCCTCACTCAGTAAGAATAATAATAACAAATGGTGTTGGTTTGTTTTTAAAGATCAGTACTTGGGCCCTGCCCACAGAATGAGGGTCCAAAACAAAACTCAATACTCACGGCTATGGATCCAACTGAGAAGACCCTGCAGGACAGAGTCAAACCGCCCCTGTGGGTTTCCTAGACTGTGAGTCATTATGGGAGTAGACAGCCTCGTCTTTCTCCTGAGGAGCAGCTGGGGGCTTTGAACTGACTCTACCACGGCACCACCAGGACATTATTCCACCAGAGGGGATCCTTGAAAGCACTTCAGTGTTGGTCCTGAGGAGGGTCAGAATGCTGAGTATTTCTGTTTTTGTTGTTGTTTTTAAAATCATTTTATTGGGGGCTCTCACGGCTCTTATTACAATCCATTGTGTCAAGCACATTTGGACATTTGTTGCCATTATCGTTTTAAAAACATTTTCTTTCTACTTGAGCCCTTGGTGACAGTTCATTTCCCTCCCCCCTTCCCCACCCTCCCTCCCTCATGATCCCTTGATAATTTATAAATTATTATTTTTTCATGTCTTACACCAACCACTGTCTCCCTTCACCCACTTTTCTGTTGCCCATCCCCCTGGGAGGGGGTTATAGATAGATCATTGCGATCGATTGCCCCCCTTGCCCCCCCAATTTCCCCTTCCCTTCCTGGTATTGCTATTCTCAATATTGGTCCTGAGGGGTTTATCGGTCCTGGATTCCCTGTGTTGCGAGCTCCTATCTGTACCAGTGTACATGCTCTGATCTAGCCAGATTTGTAAGGTAGAATTGGGGTCATGATAGTGGGTGTGGGTGTGGGTGGGTGGAGAACTAGAGGAAAGTTGTGTTTTGTCAGTGCTATACTGCACCCTAACTAGCTCATCTCTTCCTTGTGACTCTTTTGTAAGGGGGTGTCCAATTGTATACAGATGGGCTTTGGGTCTCCACTCCGCCCTCCCCCTCATTCACATTGATATGATTTCTTGTTCTGGGTCTTTGATGCCTGATACCTGATCCCATCGACACCTCATGATCATACAGGCTGGTGTGCTTCTTCCATGTGGGCTTTGTTGCTTCTTAGCTAGAAGGCCGTTTGTTTATCTTCAAGCCTTTAAGACCCTAGAAGCTATATCTTTTGATAGCTGAGCACCATCAGCTTTCCTCACCACTTTTGCTTATGCACCTGCTTTGTCTTCAGTGCTCGTGTCCGGAAGGTGAGCATCCCAGGATGCCAGGTTATTAGGACAAAGTGTTCTTGCATTGAGGGAGTACTTGCATAGAGGCCCAATGTCCACCTGCTACCTTAATACTTAACATATAAATATATGTACATACATCTATTTCCCTATCATTATATATAAATGTACTTACATATGTACATACCTGTATTTAGACCTCTCTAAATGCCCTTTGCTCCTAGTTATTTCCTCTATTTCCTTTTACTTTCTTCTTGTCTCACTATCATGTTCGGCCTTCATTCAGGTTTTGGTAATTTCTCTCAGCTACATCGCCCTTGTAGCCCCTCCACACATCCTATGCCCTCCTCGCCATTGCATTTAGATCACTTGTTGTTCCCTTGCCCCTGGGTTTTTTGGTGCCCTCTTCCTTTCCTCCACTTCCCCTTCTCCCATGTCCCCCCCCAATGGTCTGTCCTATTGTTTTCTCCTCCTGATTGTTTATCCCTCCTATCTTATCTAAGTAGACATGCAGAGACAATAATGAGCACAAAAATAAGGCAAAGCAAAACATAACAACAACAACAACAACAAACCAACATCCAAAAAAAGAAAAGCCTAGAAATAATTTCAGGTCTGTCTGTTGATCTTTATGAGTGTTTTCCAGTGGAGTCTGATGGGGCACATGTCCTGGCCTCAAAGTCTATTTTTGGTATTCCTTGGGGACTATGTTGCTTTGCTCCCCTTGCTGCTCTGTTGTCATTCCTTAGTGTTTTGCCCCTGTGTGGTTGGGTCAGATTGGGCACAATTCCCACACTGTGTCTCCAGTTTTTTCCCCCATTGCGC